CTCACTGTGTGTGTACAGTGGGCTGGACTCTCACGACTGTCCCTGGCATGGAGCTCATACTCCCGCAGTAGCAGCTACAACCCATACAGTCTGTGGTGTGGTTAAGTCAACGCGGTGAGTTGATAGAGTTGGTAGTTCAGTGTTCTGCGATGTCACTAAAGGATTTGAAAATATGGCTTTACCACATGCACAAGTACTTTATTGGTATTGCTATCACTTTAAGGGTACTTAAAGGCCATTAGATGTGTTTGAAAGCTCTGACAAAGCTTGGACTGTGAGTTGATGATATTGTGTCACACATACTGACCCAAAGGTCAGGAATGAACTTCTATGCTCAAGTAAATTCATTTGCACAGATTCGTTATGCTCATCTTTGAGATCATAAGCCCTTTTTACACTAGCTCATGCTGTAGGGCCGCTACAAAGTCCCTTCTTTGTGCTGCCTTTGCATTTTTTTCACAGAATCAAACAACAGCAGCATCATGCCTCCCCTGTGTGTGATGTTAGACAGCATGCCAGCATTGCAGAAGCAAAAGAGGTGTTACATGTAAGTCAACAGTGCCGGCCTCTAGCAGGACATACAACATATGTGTCGGCAGCACCTTTTAAACAATAACAATGGCATTAAATGGCAAAAACAGTCATTTCCCGTCCCTGTTATATGGTGGCTGATCTCGTCCTCTGCTCGGAGGGTGAGGAGCACCTAGACCTCATTGTCTCCCCAACTTGTGGACATTTTTGGCTTACGTCCTTCTTCTTTGAGTTAGCTGCTAAATGCTGCTAGTTGCTTTTTAAAATCTCTCGGTGATCAGTCGCACACATACAGTAACGTGTCATCCAAACATCACACCAGTCCTACCCATGCTCCCGTCCTGCCAGCTATCCCTTTTACACAGATGTTGATTTGACACTGTTACTATCTCCGCTGCTGGCTTAATGGTGAGACAACAAGGCACCCCCATTCAGCAATTGCACTTTATATACAGAACAGCGAGGCAGGATAATGGTGCCTTGAATAGGCTGTGTAAAAAGGGTTATAATAAATTCATACTGTGAATTATTTTTACCCTCTTTGACATAATTTCAAGGTGTTTAACGTGTCAGATAGATTACTTTTCTGACTACTTGGCTGTTAAATGTAGTCAGGTATATTTCTCTCTGATGGGCTGCATGCTGATGGAAGTCAGTGGTGAAGATCAGCTCACTCTCTCTCATCAGGCACCTCAGACACATAATGAAGCCATTCTGCCGCTCCTGCAGCTGGGGCCGGATAATCTGGGATTGGGTCTGATAGCGGATCACAGGACAGCCCTCCCGGATGAGGAAGGACTCTGTCAGAAAGCATGATCAGAGCGGGAGCCTTTGGCCCGGAAGTGCCTGTGGTTCTCCAAAAACAAAGACATGATACATTTGCATGGCTGTATGACTATAGGGGGGATTTTGTTTGCTGTGAATTGAGTTGTGTGTGCGTGTATGAGTGAATGAGTAATGCAGTCTTGAGGCCAGAAATGAATTCAGCGAGGACTCATAAAAGGCATTGTGTATCATAAAACACACACAAACCACTGTGAGCTGCCCTGACACAATGAAAAGCTCAACATTATGCAAATTGGATTTCATAACGAGATAGTCACCCCAGGAGCCGACATTTGTAGAATTCACAAAAACTGAGGCAGCTGGAGAGAGACAAGCACAGATTTGTTCTTAATGTACGCTTTCTGCAGGCTGTTAAACTTACTTGAAAGAGTCAAATGTTTAGCTCCTCTTTTCAGGCAAGTGTTTTTTAAACTCAGTAAATGGCAGTAGAGGTGAAAGTGCATAGATTCTAATGTGGTTAGTGTGTGTGGGTGTCTGTTTTTCTGCTTGTGGTTGAATCATAGGATTTAATTCCTAGTGAAAAATGTTACCCCTCCTGTCAGATTATTCATGGAAAATAGTTTTACAGTTGTGAAGTTTTGAAAAGTCAGTGATTATCTGACTAAAAGCTGAACATACAGACAAGAAAAGCATTGTGAAATGTGTGGTCAAATCACATGTTGTGATGCAGACTAACAGGTGCAAGAAAAGAGTGATAAGGGTTTCACAGACGACAGAAAGCTAATAAAAAAGTTAAATTAGCTAGACTAAAACCTAAGAAGAGCACATTTTAAAAGGCAGATGTGCAAATGATGTGCGTTAACCCTCTGAGCAAATTTAGTGTAGATATTTGAATGAATTTGGTGGTTTGAGGAGAGGCTTGTGCAGATAAAGGAGCTTAAATCCAGGAATGGAGAGCTAAATAGAGAATGAGATTAGACAGAAACTCAAGAATGGAAAAGAAAAATCAGGAGAAAGGAGCAGTAGCAGAGATGGATTGAACACATTTACATTTTAGACATTTAGCCGCAGCTCTAACCTCCCGTCCTTATAATGTGTTCCATATTGCACGGCGAGTTTTGTCTGCTGGGTTTGAAGAGTCCTAAAAACCATTTAATTTCATTCGCTTCAAAAAGACCTCAGTAAAATATTCTCTGCTATAACCAGTAATGTTGGTTATAAAATGTTTTTGTATCCGATTGCAGGCTGTTAGGAGACATTTTACACCCATAAAATACAAGTATAATTGTTTTGACAGTGGATTTTCTGTGCAATTCAATCCTTTTTTTGTGGAGTTTCAGTCACACTGTCATACTTTTAGCTACAATAGCACCAGTAGAAGCTTATTGTCATGGGCTAGTGTCAGTGTTTGCAAAAACATAAATGAACTTGGATGAATTAATTAGTCTTAATGGTTCATCCATCCATCCATCCATCCATTTTCTGCCACTTATCCAGGTCCAGGTTGGATTAATTAAATTGATTATATCATTAGAAATTATGATATATTGCTTGCAAGTACAACCCTGATTCCAAAAACGTTTGGATGCCGTGTAACACGTAAATAAAAACACAATGCGATGGTTTTGCATTTTTGGCATACAGTGGGGGAATTAAGTATTCAACACATCAGGTTTTTTCCATTACACATAATTTCAATGCAGCTGCAGACTTTGGTATTAACTCAATGAAACTGTGACTCACTAAAACTTATCTGATGAAGAATTTGTATCATTTCACTCCATAAAAATGACGTACAATTAAGTGGAATGACACAGGAAAAATGTCCTGAACTAACTAAAATTGATTTAATAATTGGAGAAACCTTGTTCACAATGCCTGCTTCAAGACTCTGAAGAGACTCGTCTCTCTCAGTGTTCAGATGAGATTTGGGCCCGTTCTTCCACACAGACTTTAAATCTCGAAGGGCCCCACTTGGGAAACTTGAGAAAGACATTTCAATTTCAAAACTTCAACAATTAGCGTTCCCAGTTCCCAAGCGCTTACTGATAGTAAAAGAAAAGGGGATGTAACACAGTGGTAAACATGCCCCTGTCCCAACTGTTCTGGAGCGTATTGCAGGCATCAAATTCAGACTGAGTGTATATTTACGAAAAACAACAAGGTTTATCAGTTTGAACATTAAATATGTTTGTCTATTCAAATGAATATATGTCGAAAAGGATTTGCACTTCATTGTACTTTGTTTTTCTTTATGATTTACACAGCGTCCCAACTTCTTTGGAGTTGGGGTTGAAGTGAAAACGTGATAAGAAAATAATTAATTCAAGACCATATTGTCCTGACTGGTTTCATACACTCATATTTTAGTATAAAACAGATAATAAAATTCATTCACTGTTGTATTAAAAAGGTCATAAAATGTCTAAAATTTAACAGCCGATTTCACAGCACAGATACAGCGTGTTTGTTGTACAATGCTCTTGTTCATGTTTGCATTTGGACCACTGTCAGCATATTGTCATTGCTCGCTGTGTTCATGATGTGGTTCATCCAGTGGAGTCATAACCACGTCGTAATATTCTCCAATATGAATTCCCAGCCGGTCACTCTGAACAACCACAACATTCATGTGACCATGAGTTAAAACATTTGTCTGGACTGATGATGACAGTAAGAGGGTGCAATGATTCAGCTGCTGGGAACTGTATGATTGCAACACTGGTTTAACTTTTTAGATCATCCAACATTCAGAACTCATTAATATAAAACCAGAATGCTCTGACAGTGCTCCTGTACCCGTGCAGTGTCTGTAAAAATCATTACGTTAAACCTCCGGTGAGACAGAAGATGCCGCTGTGTAAACAAGAGTCTTTACAAGGCTGGTGGGTTTTTAAGACTTGATGCGGTGTGACTGTCATATTAAAGCACGCCGTTGTGGTTCACTGAGCAATGTACTGCTCTCCTCCTTGCTCTTTCTTGACTCTGTCCAATCACTCTATTTCTGGATTTACCCCACCTCAACCCTCCAGCTGTTGGGTCACTTTATGCCTTCGCCCTTTTTTCTCTCGTCCCTGTTCATCTCTCCCAGTGTTGCAGTTGCTTGTTTTTTGTCACTCTGTAGAAAGAATAGAGTAGCTTCTGTCTCAGCCAGCTACATCATCACTGTGGGCCTCTCTTAAATAAGAGACAAGGCATGGGTGGAGAATATTCTCCCATGGTTATTTAAGTGTTTAAATGTGTGCCTTCCCTCTGTTTGGATCTGCTTTACTCTCTGGTCTGATAATATTAGCTGAAGTGTTTCATTGGTTTTAATCTGCAGCAGAGCGGCCACAACCTTCATGTCCTCTGGGTATATGAGTGTTTGTGTGTGTGAACGCACATGCACACGAGTGCGCGGAGTGTGTGATAATAATATCCCTTGTCAGCCTCCTGAAGATTAGCCTCAACGGAAGAAATCCTCTGTCATATCCCCTCACCTTATTCTCCTCCTCCCTCTCGCCGCCTTATCAGTCCTACATTGTTTTACAGTTGAGTGATTTGCTCTTTTCTAAATTCAGAGCTCAGTTTTTTTTTGCGCCTGTGGAGAAAATTTGGGTCACACAAGCTCTGTGATTTAAATGATGCTGATTGTCTGAAGCTGATTTGTTGGAATGATTGTTTTTTTTATCTTCTGTTCTCAGATCTGCATTAGACTGAAAATAGCCCAAGAAGAAGAAGACGACCGGCCTTGACTCCAGCTGGTCCTCCATGGACCAGTGAAATTGTTCCCACCCTGCCAGTTAAAAGCGATGTTTTTGGGAGCTGGAGGCCGTAACACCGTCAGCAGAGTGTGTGTGGGGCCCCTCCTCTCCCTCTTTCCCAGCGCTCCCCCTGACATGGGATGCCAGCCCCCTGCCTCCCTGCCCTGAGCTCGCCTGGGGTGCCATGAACAGCTACAGAGACAGAGGGGTCACTTGCACCTCCTCGGACCTCCTGGATGGAGGTGGAGGAGGGTTCCCCCAGCACACTCCGTTTCGTCACACCCCAAATGGCCACCCGGCTCCTGTCCCCATAGACCCGGGCATCCAACCACGCGTCTCCGTGCCCAAAATGGGTGTCCGGGCGCGGATTGCAGAGTGGCCCCCTCGCCGTGCGCAGTCCAGGGAGTCGCTGCTTGAAAACGGGCAAATTGGCGGCATTCGCCACGGAGATGACGGCTCCACTTCAATTTCCTCATCAGTTTTGTCATCTGACATGGGGCTGGTGCGGGGAGGAGTTACCAGGTTGCCGCGACGACGGTCCAAGGATGTAGAGTTCAGAGGAGGAGGGTTTGGTGTTGAAAGAAATCCACCTTTCAGCCTACGGGTGTTCCCTCCACTGAGACAGCGTTCAAACAGCGAGGTGACACTGAGTGAACACGATGAAAATGAGGTGAGTCTTTAATCTTCAGTCGCTCTCACATGTTACGTGCATTTCAAGGAAAAAATGGTGCTGCCTTTTTAGTTCTGACACTGACTTTGTATAAACAATCATAGAGGATAAAACATGAAGTTATGTTGAAAAAGTGCTGCTTGGACCCAAACAGGGAAATTCCAGTTTATGACAGTAGGTCATGCTGCATTCTCCTGCACTAAATCTGTTTGTGTATCTTCTCTGGTGTCACAAAAGCTCGTCAAGAAGTAACAAGATTATGAGCGTCATTAGACACCACTGCATTTGACCTCATAATAACAAACGTGCACACATAAGGACAAAATACATTACTGTAGGGGGGAATTGTTACTGTGTGGCCACCACTCCAATCTGCTCTCTATGGTCATGCACATACAGTATGTGTTGCCATGGTTACCAGATAATCTTGCATAAATATGTGCGTTGCTTACCCAGATTTATTCCGACAGTTCATGGCACGGTTAACAGTAATTTAGCTTTTGAATACATGCGAAATTCACACATTTACTCTCATAAAATCCTGTGGTCGGTGTGTTTTGCTTTCACACCACAAACAAACAGCTACAGAGTTCAGCTGACAGTTTTCTCACCAGCCTAAACTAACTGAACTTAACTGCTTGTTTGAAGTGAACCAAACAGATTGTGTAATAAAGCACCCTAATTTCACGTTTTTTCTCCAATATTAATAATAAAACAGAGTTGTTCTGTATTCACTGATTCACCATGAAAAGCTGAACATTCTTTCCCATCTCTGCTCTAAGGTGGAGGTTCACGGAGGCGGTGGGATGGGGAACCTGTTCAGAGAATACGGCAGCACCTCCTCCATTGACATCCAGGGCATTCCCGAGCAGAGCTTCTTTGAAATGCTCAGCCAGTTCCACCAGGAGAGGCCTGACCAGCGCAGCTCAGCACCCATACGCCTAGGGGAGCTGCTGCGCTCCCCAGACTCACCGCCAAGTGCAGCCCACCCCTCTGCTCCCTCACCTGGTCCTGCAGGCGGGGATGACAGAGGGACAGGGAGGAAGGAAGGAGCTGAGAGAGTGAGGAAGAAAAGTGGAGGGACAGAGTCATCACTGGGCACCTCCTCTTTGTTCAGGAAGCTTAGGAGCTCTAGTCGTGGTGAGCTGGATGGAGGGAAAGGAGACTCTAATGAGGACGGGGGAAGCCGGGGTTCAGCAGATGCCTCCTACAAACAGTGGGTGTGCCCTAAGAGCTTTGTCCACTTCGATGCTCAGAGCATCCTGTTTGACCTCCACGAAGCGGCGGTGCAGCGGGGCTATGCTGCCCAGAGGAGGAACACCGCCACGGGGGCATCAGCTGCGTCAGTGTCCCTGTCCGTCTCTAGATCCTCTGCGGTGAATGACCCAGTTTACTCCAGCATCGAGGATCTGACCCTGAGCCTCGACCCCGGCTCCATGACACCCTCCTTGGGCATGGACCCTCTGGACGGGCCTCCTGGTGCCCAGAGCTCGAGCCCACTGCTCCTCTGCTGCCCCCACTTCCTTAATGAGACTGGGGGCCACGGGGAGCGCAACATCAGCTTCCTCAGCTCGTCAGCTGAGCGAGGAGGAGAAGGAGGAGGAGATGGAACTAGGGGTTGGCTGAGGAGGAGTAACGCCAGCGTCTCAGTGCTGGAGGTGCCTATTGAACAGCAGGTTACGAGACTGGACAGACTGAAACTGTACAGCATAGAGCATGTAGACCAGGGGGCCAGGTACTACAGAGACTACTTCCATGGGAAAGGTAACACTGAAACACATTTACTACTTAAACCATGAACATTCAGTGATGTTGATGTCGGCTGTGTTATTAAATGATCAAGAGTCAAACAAACAAACTTTGTTTATACCTGGTTATGGTTTGCAGTACATTGAGAGCATACTTCATATAGGGTAGCAGGGTTTAAAAAACAAATGAAATGGCTTTACATAAAACATAAAAAGGCATTAAGACAAGAATAAACCTGTGCAACAAGTAAACAAGTAATGATTGAGTCATCTGGACATTAAAGATTCAGTAAAGACATGGAGATGACTTGGGCTCAATAGTTGCTGACATTTTGTGGACTAAAGAGTTGGTCAAACAAAACAAGAAATTTGCATACAATATCCCTCATATTGACATTAATCAATCATGAAAATAATTTTAAGTTGCACTTTGTGACAAACCATTTAGTACATTTGTCAATTAGTCAATTATCAGAAAATTAATGGCCAGTATTTTAATGACTGAGTAGTTATTTATGAAAAATTGCTAAAATCGAAACCATTATTTGTTTCCATCTTCACAAATGTGCGAATGGGCTGGTTGTCTCTGTTTTTATATCATAGATTAAAAAACATTGGGTTTTGGACTGTTTCTTGAACTAAATTATCAATTTAACCTGGGGAAATACTGATGGGCAGAGCAACTGATAGTGAAAATAATGACTAGTGGTGCTACAGCAGCGATACTCAACCTGCTTTGCCCAGGGGCCACTTTTGCAAAATGACAGGAGTCAATTAATTGAATTGTCAACTATTAAATTAATCACCAACTAGTTTGGTAATCGATTAATGGCTTTGAGTGTTTTTTTTAAGTGAAAAAAGTAAAAATACTCTTATTCCAGCGTCTTAAATGTGGACATTATGTTTATTTGCTCCTCTAAGAGAGTAGACTGAATGTCTTTGAGTTGTGAACAAAATAAGACATTTGAGGACCTCATTTTGGGCTCTGAGAAACACCAATCTGCATTTTTCACCATTTTCTGACATTTTAAAGACCAAACAACTAATTGATTAATCAATAAAATTAAATTCTCAATTGCTCATATGTGTGAATGTGAGCATGAATGGTTGCCTCTCTATGTTAGCCCTGTGATAGTCTAGCTGGCCAATGTCAGCTGGGATAGGCTCCAGCCCCTCCACGACCCCCAACAGGATAAGTTGTTGCGGAAATGAATAAATGAATGAATTTTACAGATTATTTGACAATAAAAAATATATGTATGGTGTAGCCCTAGACAGGAGGCCAGGGGCCACTAAATAAACAACCATTAATCATATTTGTCAGTATATATAATAAATGCATTGCATTACTTTCAACCTTTTGAAGATAGTTGTCCTCACTCATCTTTGCCAGAGAGCAGCGGCCCCACACAGGTCAGGTATATGCAGGGGACACTTAATGGACATTTGGGGATTTGCCTGGACCTCTTTCTGGGGGTCTGTGGGATCCTCACCTGGCAATTTTGATATCTAGAGTCGGCAAGAAATGTTGTTGTTAATGTAGTTAACTTGTGTTAGCTTGGAGGGCTAACTTGGTGTATTTACTGTATTACCTGAACATCATGTCACCCTAAAGCTCCTGACGAATCCCTTTCAAACTCTTGATGAGAAAAAGGAACAGATAATCAAATAATCATATTGAACAGCCAAATCTGGTTCAACTGACAATTCTGAGTCGGGTACAGCCCTACAATCAATTTATTTTCATTGTGAATTAGAAAATGGTTGGTAGGCAAACAGGCACCAGGCACCCTATAATACCCTGTATATACTGCATGGCAGTGTCACTGCCATGCAGTATATACATACTGATCCCATTTTCTACTCTGATTTAGGCCCCTTGCTGTTATTGGTCCATTTGAATTAGACAGCATAGATGTCGTTTCCCCAGTGTCATTCCCCACATGTCATCCTGCGGCTGTTTTAATATCCAGCTGGGCCCGGGCAGAGCAGAGTGGGCCAAGCTGGCAATGCTCCCAGAGTTTTTATTACACATGTACCTGCCACTGGACTGTTGGCAAACTCTGAGCCGATGATACACCACCTGCCTTTCCGCACGATCACAAGTACCACTCAACATAGTCAGCCCATGCAGCTTTGTCTTACATCTGGTTTTCACTGTCAGAAGTAACACCTAACTTCAGAAAGGAAAGATGCGTAATGTGTGCCTGTCGGTGCGCACGTTTGTTGGCATTTCTTGTCAACATCACCTCTTCAGACACTGCGGATGAAACTTCCTCTTGGCAAGCATCATCTGGCTGCACCCTAATTAGTGACAGATGCTGTTAGGAGCACATGTGTGCAAGCAAGCGTGTGTGTGTGTGTGTGTGTGTGTGTGTGTGTGAGAGAGAGAGAGAGAGAGAGAGAGAGAGAGAGAGAGAGAGAGAGAGAGAGAGAGAGAGAGAGAGAGAGAGAGAGAGAGAGAGAGAGAGAGAGAGAGANATAGAGAGAGAGAGAGAGAGACAGGCCTGCAGCCACGCAGATAAAGGTTATCATTCCAAAAATATGTTCATCTGCTGACTCGTTTCCCCAGTACGCAAGTGTGATTGTGTGTGTTGTGTTGTGTCAGAGAGCCTCATCAAAAAGCTGACATTTTCACCACAGGACATGGCATGGAAGCTAAGCAGGCCTGAGTCTCCGAACGTGTACGTCGTCCCGGTTTATTCCCGTCAGATGGGGGATAGAGGAGGAACACTTGTCAAGCTAGATTCCTCCCCAAGTGGAGAATTTGTCTTACGACTCCCACACTGCCTGTGGCGTTGGCATTACCACGGCTTAGCTTAGGAGCTTTAGAAGAGGACATGCAAGATCCTTGTGAAGTGGGTCGATAGCTTTGTCTCAGCCTCTTAATGGATGAAATTGTTGTGTGCCAACACGGGTAACAAGCCGCAGAATGTTAATTGGCGACTTGTGACACCACATTTTGTTTGTTTCCTGTATTTGCCGAGGACATATTTGGTCTTTTATAGTTTTATTGTTTAACAGTCAAATTTTATAGTCATGAATGTGAAGCTCCAACACATGACATCAGAAATATTTTCAGCATCTCTGTGACCACATAACTATAGTAATTAACCCTTGAACATCACCTTTCTTCAGTAGCAGTCATCATTTTCTCTGGGTTATGGCTTTTGCTGGCTAAATTGATTTTGTAATTATGTGAGTATCGATTACTAGATGTCATTGTCTTAGTCCTGTCCTTGACTCAGTGCCCCTCCTCTGTCAGTCCTGATTACTACAGAGCCTGGCATCTTCTCTTCTGTCAAACTCTTTTTTTTATCCATCTCATGTTTGTCTCTTGAAGGTTAAATGTACTTTTTTCTTATATCAACCCTCAATGCTAGGGCTGCACGATATACAAAAAAAAAAAAAATCATACTGTGATTATTTTGACAGATATTCCGACTGCAATAAGTTGCGATTTTAATGTGAATGTTAATTTTTGGTTTTTATTTGCACTGAAAAAAAATTAAAATGATGTGATGTTTGCAGGGGTCTGTTCTGAACACGCATGTTCCCTGATGTCTGGAGTGAGATGTAGGCAGGTGGCATCTCTGTAGCACCATATTGCTTCATTTATAATGATATGATGTAGCATATTTTACCTTCATCAAAAACTGCAGCCTTTGTGATTTGTATATTGTGCTTGTCAATATGGCGATTTTGATAATATTTCGAGTAACTGTGCATCCCTACTCAACCTACTCCTTTTTTCCTGACACAAATGGGTCTGTAGAACCAAGCCTAATGCACCGCCCAAAGTTTGGATCGAATACGTGGATATATTTGGAGTCTTGTTAACTTCTTTTTTTACTGAGATATTTACTTTAATATTTTCAGTTTAAGACTGGATTTTATGAAGGTAATAGTTTTGTACAGCGGCTTGTTTTTAAGCACCATCTTCAGAAATTTGATGTCTTTTGTTAATGAAAAAACAGGGTGTTGCAAAAAAGCATGTTTCTCAAAGTTAATGATTAATCATAACCATCATAGTTTCCCAAAGATTAAGTTGACGATTAGCAGTCTAGAAGCCTAAAAATATTTACTTAGTCTCATAGAATCGTAGATAGTAATTTATTGATTAATTCTTTGGTCTATAAAAGGTTTATGATAATTTATAAAAGTCTATAAAGTGTTGGTTGATAGTTGACATATTTATTTGTCCCTTTTGTTTGACCTACAGTCCACAAACAGTTTACTATTACAGAAGAGTTAGAAAACCAAGAAACACTTAATTCTTATATTTGCAAAGCTAAATCTTGTGAATTTTTTTTATTTTATCATAGCTTGAAAGTTTGCTAAAATCAAAATGATTAAGATTCTTTTTGATTAATACTTTCAAGTCTAAAAGAAAGTCAGACACTACTGTGTGTAAAACCCACAACCCAGTCTCTTGTTCATGTATCCAGTCATACTGTAGATAAAACACGTGTCTCCTCAACACAAACTTTATCATTGATCCCGATCTCTTGTCATCCTCCACCAGAGCACTCAAACTACTTTGGGACAGACGATAAGCTGGGCCCTGTGGCCGTGAGCATCCGCAGGGAAAAACTAGACGACACCAAAGACCTGAAAGACCAGTACCAGTACCGCCTCATCGTCAGAACAAGTGAGGTATGAATCATCTGCCGTTTGTGTGTGTTTGTTTTGAGTGACAAAACAGTGATGAGTCAGTGAAGTGTGCACGCTTACTTTCTGTTTTACTCACTGTAATGTCACCTAGCCTTCCCTTTGTGTCCTTACCTGTGACTCTAACCCACTCTGCCCTGGTTTTAACCTCCCCCCTCACCCCCTCTGTCCCCTCTGCCAGTGGAAAATTCCACCTGCGCAGCCTCAGTGCAGCAAAGCCAAACCAAACACTGGCTGCTGTGGCCAAAGTGTTTGACCTCCTCTCACAAGGAGCACACCCAACCACTTTTCCACTTTGAGGGGTCAGATACTCGTAATGTGTTGAGTGATGGGCTGATGATTATGGAGGAATAGTAAAGATGTGTTCAAAGACAACAAACATGTCATTTATGCTCATTTACTTTGAGAAATTCCAAAGCAACAAACTATAACAAATATGGGCTCATTATTGACAGACAATTAATTTGCAACTGTTCAGATACAGGTTTCCAGCGGTTCCTTAAAAGTCTTAAAAGGCCTTGAATATATTAATCCAAAAAAATAAGGCCTTAATTGGTGATAAAATGGCTTAAATCAATCTTTCAAAAGTCTCATGAGATTTTTAAAAGATAATTTTCTAAATGTTCCTGAATGCATTTAAGTCACGCAGATCAGGACAGTGGAACCAACAACACTTATATTTTGTTTCCAAAACGACAATCCCCTGTCTGTGAGCCACTGTCACTGTACCTTGTAAGCCATGGGAAGTGCAAACTCAACGACAATTGGCCATTTAACCAAGATTTCGCGGGATGGCTGAAACAAGTACAAGGCAATGCATATGAGGCTCGGAATATTTTCTGCAAAAAGTTTTTCAAACTCGACATGATGAGAATCAAAGCAGTGGAATCCCACATGCAGAGTGAGAAACACAAAATCGACAAGAAAACTCGCCAACAAACAGCAGGTTATTTCTCAGTCGTGTTCTACCCTCGTCTCTACCACGAGACAAAAAAAGAGGTGTTTTATGTTGCAATAAACATTCTGGCAAAGTTGTCCCTCATACTGAGTTATTGATATCAACTCATGTTTTCCCCCCTTTGATTCATGTCATTGTAAACTTGGTCTTAAGTTTTATACGCAGTGGAATAAAGTCAATAAATCATTTTGAGTTCAAGCTAAAAATGTCATTAACTTGTTCCAGCTTCTCAAATGTAAAGCTTTTCTTGGTTTTGTATGATAATTAATGGAAAATCATTGGGTTGTGGACTGATGGTTACTCAAAACAAAAAAATTAAAGTCCCCAGGAAACTGGGATCAGCATTTTTTTTTTTTTTTTTTTGCCTTTTTTTTTTTTTTTTACACAAAAGCAACAAATCAATTTATCCAGAAAATAATTTGCAGATTAATCTGTTACACATGGCGTACAATCATTAGTTGCAGCCCATAAATGACTTGACCACAGACAGCACTGTGTTTTTCTTCCATTTTTTTTATTTCATAGTTTGCATTAGAGACATCTGCAGTCTCCAAACAGTCAGTTTGATCTATTTAACATTTTATAAACACCTGTGTAGCGTTGTCAAGCTCACTCAAACAAACAGTTAAGTTTGCTTGTGTTCATTGTGTTCATGTAGCCCGCCTGTCTTCCTCCAGCACTGTGTTGTTTTTAGCTGGATTACATGGCTGCCTGGCCTCATCACCTTAGCTCTGGTATAACAATAGAGCCTCTCCGCCATCTAAGTACACAGAGCTCAGCTAACAGACACAGCCAGCACACCCAGGCCTACTGTTCCCACACAGAAAAAAAAAGAGATTGATTGCAGACTTTATTCTCTCCAGCCACAGCTGCTCTCAAATATCCATCCCCCTTAAGTCTGTCATTTAATTCTGTGCAGCAGTGCTGACGCAGCAAGGTGCGGAGACTTCCTCCTTTTCCCTTCATCACACATTTATACACGCAGCCCCCTGACATTCCTGCTCAGCATGTCGCAGTCACTCGCTGCACTGTTGCGCAGAAGCTGACAAGTTGAAAGGAAAGCTCCATAACTTCGGCTTCATGTCAATCAGGTTTCATTTCTCTGCAGCACACCCGAGTCTCCAAGGTTCAACTGTCTCTCCGGCCCCTGCCAGCTCCACAGTCTGCCATGCATTTTTAATGAAGCCGCATTTGTGTGTGTAGTTGCACGGGTGTGTGTGTGGTGGGAAGGAACAGCCCACTCCTCCCAACTGTATCTGAGGTTATTATAGCCTCACTGTTTTGAAGCAGGTCAATTTCCTCTCACCAGGGAGCAGCACTCTGTGGCAGCACAATACTGAGCAGAATATTAATTCACAATACAGCTCGACTTTAAATCCTCCACACAGAGCACTGTGTGTGTGTGTGTGTGTGTGTGTGTTGCAGAGTGTGGCTTCAGGGGCAGCAGGGCAATATTGAGACCATCCCTCATCTGATGGATCCACTTCAAGCTTCCAGGCAGCCAATCATCCGCCCCTCCATTTCACAGAGGCGTGGTTCTGTAGCTGAGCCTGACCTCTGACCTTTCACAATACAAATATCTCAGAATCAGAAGTATTACTGTGTATGTTCTCCTGTGTCTTTCCTGTGTTAGTGTTTGTCCAGGCTTTGTCTCAGTCAGCCCCACCTACAGCTGTTTTGTTGAATATTCTCTGGCCAAATTCAACTAAAAACAACATTTGTATCGAATGTACTGAGCGCCACATCTGCTCTAAGTGAAAAAACAAGAACTTCATATAAAGTAACTCTGAAGTCATGACAATCTGCTATTTTTTGTGATAGCACCTCCACCTGTAGCACAGGGAGAGAAAAATCCTGGTACCGGCCATGCAATAGATGTTCTGAAATCTTGTTCTCTAATCATCTAAAGTCATCTAAATGACCCTTCATCTTCACCCTTGGATATTTGTATTCTTCCGGTTTCCTGCCAGTCTCATGATATAAATGTCATCAACACACCCACTCGCTCGCTCTGAATTCTCCAGACAATGACCTGCTCTATTTACACAAGTTTAATCAGACATTACACTGACTTTTCACTAGGGAGCTGGCAGGGTAAAGTCCGTTAAACGTCCAACTGATTCAGACATTGGTGATCTCACTTACAGCTCCTCTGGGTAATGTCTAGATAAGTTCATTGTAGCAGTGCATGTATGAAAGGGTAGTACACAGAGAATACATTTCTCTCCAAATGAGAAAACATGTAAAATTACAATAGCCATTATCTGTAATTGAAAATAATTTTGGGGTGCTGGTGGCTTAGTGGTAAAGCAGGCGCCCCATGTACAAGGCTGTTGCCGCAGCGGCCCGGGTTCGACTCAAGCCTGTGGCCCTTTGCTGCATGTCCTTCCCTCTCTCTCTCCCCCCTTCACACTTGTCTGTCCTATACATTAAAGGCTAAAAAGCCCAAAAAATATCTTTAAAAAAAAAAAAAAAGAAAATAATTTTACAGACCAACAAAGAGATAAAAAGGAGATAAGTAAAAAACAGATGAAAAAATAGCATGTAACCAAGTGAATATTTTGAATTTAAAGCAGAGAGGAAAAAAATTAGTTAAATAACCCTTATTAAGAATTTAGTTGGTCAGCAAGTTGTCTGTTCCTAAGACAGGGAAGAGTTAAACAGATAAACAGTAAAGGTAAGGGTGGGGTCTTAATCAACAATGAGAAAATCTCTTAAAAAACCTTTGTGATTGGGTGTCGGTGGCTTAGTGGATAGAGCAGACACCCCATGTACAGGTTCCATCATTGCGGCCTGGGTTCGATCCCAGCCTGCACCCCTTAGATCCATGTCTCCCCTCTCTCTCTGCCCCCCCTCACCTTCATCTGTCCTATCCATTAAAGGCAAAAAATGCTGAAAAAATAATCTTAAAAAACCTTTGTGATGATGGAGTAATTTCTTGACATTTTGATGCCTATATGCTTGTGACAGCCTAGGTTGAAGGTATTATGTTTTCGGGTTGTCTGTCCCATTTTCGTGAACGCAGTATCTCAAGAACACTGTAAAGGAATTTCCTCATATTTGGCACAAACGTCCAATTGTACTCAAGAATGAACTGATTAGAGTTAAGTGATCAAAGGTCACTGTGACCTCACAAAATACGTTTGTGGCCATAACTTAAGAATTCATATGATAATTATGACAAAATTTCACACAGATGACGAACAGGATAAAATGATGCAGTGATGACATTTATACCCAAAAGCTCAAAGGTCAACTTCACTGTGACATCATGATGTTCTGCAAAACTCCCCTCTGGCCATTACTCAGTGTCGTAACTCAGGAACAGAAGGGGCATTTGGTGGGTTACTGAATTGGTCATACTAATCTTGGGTGTCCATCTTGAAACTGTGCTGATTGTATAGATCTTCTGTGTTGCCGGGTTAAAGATGTGTGTGAAGCATCCATGTTTTCGAATTTGTAGTTCGAAAACATGGAGAAAACATATGAGTGTGGACAGACATGGATGTAAACTGCAACCTGAGAGGCACTAATTGTAGTTAAGATATTTAGTGTTTTAAAATCATTGAAGCATTGCAACATTTTGTCTTTCCCCACATCCAGCTTGTGACCCTGCGAGGCTCCATTTTAGAGGATGCGGTGGCATCGACTGGGAGGCACGGCACGGTGCGGGGTCTGCCGCTCAAGGAGGTCCTGGAACAAGTCGTCCCCGAGCTCAACGTGTCCTGTTTGAGACTGGCACTCAGCACGCCCAAAGTCACAGAGCAGCTCCTGAAACTAGACGAACAGGGGGTGAGTTACAAGTCTGTTTTTGCATTTCATCTTTGGGCTTGTGAGCTAAAACTGGAAATTCGACAGTTGAGACCAGATGCTCAGTCAGTGACTCGAAGTCAGGCTGGCTAAAGAAATAAGAGCTGATAAGTAAAACAGTGGCATATGGTGTGCTCAGATATTGTGTATAAAAGTGTCTGAAACCCGTATAACTGATTTAGTGTTAGTGCGAAGTACAGAATCGTTGGAGTAGGGTGTGGTGTGTTTGAGCATGAGTGTGTAACCATAAAAGCTTTAATGTTTAGCCACGTTATCTCACCTTTTATTTAATGGAGGGTGAAGTGCAAGGCGGAGGTGTATGGCTTGTTTTTGTTTGTGCAGGTGTTTTTTTTTACAACGCTGAAGTGGAGCTTAATGTTTAAGGGCATCCAGATTAACATCAGAGTGAAATCCTTCTGTGTAACATCCACTTCAACGTTGAGTTGTATTAAAAGGCTCAGACTGCAGTGTTTCAGCTGTCTGTGTGTGTGTGATGTTAATGTTCTCTCTCTGTTGTCTCGTAGTTGAGTCAGAAGCACAAGGTGGGTGTTCTGCTGTGCCGTGCGGGCCAGAGCACAGAGGAGGAGATGTACAACAACGAGGAGGCGTCACCCGCCTTCTCTGCCTTCCTGGAGCTGCTCGGGGAGCAGGTGCTTCTCAAGGGATTCACCAAATACGCAGCACAGCTCGACACAAAGAGTGAGTCCTCATCCCCTCTCAGATATGCATCACATCCTGTACATGTGTTGATAATTTAACATGTTGATCACATGTCTGCATAAGCATCTGAGTCACTTGTACATAAAAGTCAAGACTGCAGCTTACGTCCATTTCTAAACTGAATGCAGTCAAATTAAAGGCTGTGGCAGCACAAGGTTACACATGCACTTCCTGTTCACCAGATTAAGCTCACAGTAAGACATTCATCACATAATTATCATCTCACTAGCTTAGAGAAAATAAAAGCAGTTTAATAAGTTATGAAATAATGTGAATGAGCCAATTTTCTCTCTCTTTTCAACTTTCTTCCATGCAGTTAGCATTTTGAATATCCTTTGAATGAGAGTCCTGACTGAATGTCACACCATATGTAGCTTGTCCATTGTAGGACAATTTAAAATAGGCAGCAGAATTATCTAACAGTGAGGACATTTTCATTACTCAAAGGCGGGGTTCATCTGTTTGTTTTTTTTTCTGGGGTTTTCAAATGGAAACTCCCACATAGCCGTTAGCAAAAAGCAGTGATGTAGGTTAAAGCTACAAGTGCTGATGATAATAATAACTGAAAGGGATAGTTCAGAGTTGTTGAAGTGGGGTTATATGAAGTACTTAACCATAGTCAGTGTTGTATTTTCACTGCTTGACCTTGCTGTCAGACAGCTCTTTCTGACGGGGAACTGAAGCTGTTACATCTCTCTTTTCAAAGCTGCCAGACTCTTTTGAGAAAAACAGTAACCATACCTTGCACAACACAAGAAGTTGCTGGTCGGCTGCTGCCTCGATCAGCTAGTTTGTGTTATAGTGTGACTTTTAGACCCAAACTAATGTGGCGTTCACAGCAGTACATTGATTAGCTTCTTTGCTGGTAAAGCCTCCTTCAGACTGTGCGATTTTAGCAATCTTATAAGTTTAGTGCAGCTACACTGTGCGACATGGATCTAATAAACTTGGGTATGACATCAAGTCTGATGTATGCAGACTGTACGACGACAGCGCCTACTGAATCACAGGCTACGATGTACGATAGCTTCCCATACTGAGTGTGCAAGGATGCTACACGGGTTATAACAGTAAAACACAACATGGAAGGTCACATTATTAATAACCTAAAGTTTTGTGGGCACTAAATACTGTGATGTGTTTGCTAGCTGCTAAGTTGCTCACCTGGCACCTGCAACTCAGCCGCTATTTCCTTCCATGCTCCATCCTTATTTACGCAATCATGGTATGAACTGGAGGACACATCATACAGGCAAGGCTTCTGCTGCCACAACCCAACAAGGTTTTACTCTTTGCTGGAATACCACACGTCCATTTGTGCATTTTGCCTCCATGGCGAGCTGCTGTCCATCTGTTTGTTTGGGTTTAGCGCCAGTGCGTCATTTCATTCTGCATTTCTGTTGGTTGATTAGTAGATGCAAGACCATGAGCAGCCATCCTTAAACCTCTCGCACTGGGTGAGGTAGGACCACCGTTTTAGAGCCACGACCAAAGATATTGCCACGTTTCTTTCACGTTGGTCAACTTTTGTCTGGGACAGCTCAAAATCGCACAGCGTCTACTGGTCTTAAGAAGGTTAGAGCACTATGGCTAATTTGGAAAATCGATAACCCACAATTCTCAAAGAAAGCTTGGCTCAGTCATGAAGAGGCACATAAGGCAGGTGAGGAGTTTTATATGTCGCAATGGCATCATGCAGAAACCTACATCAAGTCACATGGCAAAACAGTTTTAGAGGGCTTTGGAAAATAGCATTGTGACATTAAAACATAGGTTCTTCGACCAAAATTTGAATTATCAGATTTGTACACACCGCACTTTAACTGTCTTTTTAAAGGGACAAAATCCATTACTGTAAAAGACAGATGAAGCCTGCAGTGATACGTAACAGTGATAATCAGGCCAAGTGTCACAACCCCAGAACAAGCAACATGACAGTTTTGGCATCATCGTGATCCCTGGAAAAACATCTGTTTGTACGATTAAGTGTTTGGACTCTAAATCTGAAGTTAACAACATCTGACCTGAACTTAAAATATCTCTCTCCAGCGGACTCCACAGGCACCCACTCCCTGTACACCACCTACCAGGGCTACGAGGTCATGTTCCACGTGTCCACCATGCTGCCCTACATGCCCAACAACCCACAGCAGGTGAGAGCTTAACAGCATCCTCTTATTGTATGTTGTGTCTCGTGAGGTCATGGTGTGGTGCGTACAGCTGAAAAATACATCCACAACTTTCCTTTCTTGTCACCAAGAGTCGGTCTGTGGTTGTTAGTTAAAGCCTCCTCTGTTTGCTCCGGGTCGTAAACCAACAGCAAGAATTCATAGAGTGGAAACTCGTGACTTGTGTCACCCTCTTCATGTAGAGTCTCTTTTCTTTTTTATTCAGCCTGTCATGTTTTATAGTCTTTGTTCTCTGTCCTTTCCTACTCACTGGCTTTTTCTTCTTGCTCTCTCACTGCCTCTTGTTCTTTAACTGGATCAGATGGGTGGGGTTCAGTAGTGAGTAGTGTCTTTATTTTCTCCCTCTTTTTTTTTTTCTTAAAATAAAGCTGCCTTTCTACACATTCTCCAGGGTGCTGTGTGTTTGAAGCGTGTTCTGCGTGTGTGTCACTGACCTGTGTGTAAGATAACATTTTTTTTACGTGTGGGTATTTTTAATAGTTTGTGTAAGTGTTTTGCATGAGAGGCTCACACGGGTGAACACGTACTCTGACAGGCCCTGTGGGTGCTCAGGATTAGTGTACAGTGTGGGGAAGTCATTTGTTCCTCCTCAAATATCAACAAAGATTGTGAATCGGAGAGTTATACTTTTTTGCTATCCCCGCAGCAATCCATCGTTTGTTATTACAAACAAGCTTTTTTTTACATGACCTTCTTAAACATCTTGTAAATGATGAGTAAACAAGAAATGTGAGGGTTACACTTTTTAAATAAAGTCAATTATAAGTGTGTTTGAACAGTTCATATTAGTGTCAGCTATTAAATCAGAAAATGTAATTTTATAAATGGCACAATAACTCCATCCAGAGGTTTAGAGACTGCAGTAGCCAGCACATTTACTTGCTCAGATGAACCTCTAGGTGGCAGCATCTGACATTAAATATAACCTGTGGTGCAGAAGCAGATGCAAGTGGAGTGAAGTAGAAATAAACATACTGTGGAGGCTCTTGCACTCAGAAGAGAGAAGGAGAACACCAGCTAGGGCTGCACACTTACCTTGTATGACCAGTGGTTAAATGTGCAGTAAATACCTGTTGAATCTTGCATATCAGCTGTATTTAGTTGTGTGTAGAATGGATGGTAAAATAGATGAAGATGCCAGATGTAAGATACAACAAACATCTTTCCTCCATCAGTTATAGTTAATGTTTATAACCACTACATCAGGCACAATAATCCAAATTTCAGAGCTTGCAGTCTCAGTGCGAGTGAAGGATGCTCCTGAGGCACCATGCTGGAGAATGTGTGTGTCTGTGGCCAAACAGTGGGCTGGATTACATAATTGGTACTTTCACACTTCCCTCTGCAGATGAAGAGAGGATTGGCAAGCACTGCACCACAGACACAGCTTGGACTCTGTGCCACGTCTCCTACGCGAACACAGATAGATGGACAAACCAGCACATACACACACAGACACAAATAGCCCACACAGAATCCGAAAAACAAATTACATAAAGAGCTGTTGTTTGGTGTCTCGTAGTGAGCGTCTCAATCTCTCGTTTCCCTTGTCAGACTCTTTCTATTGTCAGTTGTGTTGGTGCCAGTTTGTGTTAGCTAATTTTTATTAACTTGTCATTTTTTCTCTCTCCTCTCTTGTCCCTCAGCTCCTGAGAAAGAGGCACATAGGGAACGACATTGTCACCATAATCTTTCAGGAGCCAGGAGCATTGCCTTTCACCCCACAGAATATCCGCTCACACTTCCAGCACGTCTTTGTCATTGTCCGTGTGCATAACCCCTGCTCTGAAGGCACCTGCTACAGGTAAATGTCTTAAACAGAACAAGGACGTGTTCATATACACAGAGTCATGACTAAAATAGTTCAAACACACACACACTTCAAATCTGTGCCACCTTCTTCTTTCAGTGTTGCTGTGACAAGAATGAAGGATGTGCCTCCCTTCGGCCCACCCATCCCCAGTGGCGTCACCTTCCGTGACCCAGAAACCTTCCGTAACTTCCTTCTTGCCAAAGTTATCAATGCAGAAACCGCAGCACACAAGTCAGAGAAGTTCCACACTATGGCAACACGAACGCGGCAGGAGTACCTCCGTGACCTGGCTGAGAACTATGTCAGCAGCACGCCCCTCGACTCAGCCGGTAAGCTCAACAACCTCATCTCCCTCGCATCTAAAAAACGGGAGCGCTCCAAGGCAAGAGAGGGAGCAGAGCTGGGAGCTGCTGGGGCCGTCGCATGGAGGGTCCAGGCCCAAGACTTCAGTGGCGGTGGGGCGGAGCTCCCCTGTGCCTTGGGTTTATCGGCTGAATACGTCCTCCTGACAGACTGCTCCACCAAAGAGGTGGTGTTTAACTGTTTCTGTGCGGACGTGATTGGCTGGACACCGGAGCGGCTGGCGCTGAAGATCTTCTACGGTAGAGGAGACCACATTGCTGTGCGAGTACCTGAGGGCTGTGCACAGGACATCAGGGAGATGGTGCAGAGGTTAAAGGTGAGAGTTTAGAGCTTGTTTCAGTTCATGTGTAGAGAGGTGGGGAACGGCTGAAGACTCTAGAACCCATGGTAGTCAAGCAGGCAGATAGTGATGTGAGCTGGAGTGCAGAAGAGGATCTAAGAGTACGCGAGTGTGTGTAGATATGAAGGGGCCTTAAAGGTGAGAAGGAGAGTCTTGAAATCGATGCGATATTTAAAGGGGAGTCAGTGAAGTTGCTGAAGAACAGGAGTGATATGATCTATGGAGGGAGTTCTGGTAATGATAGAGGCGGCTGAATTCTGAACCAACTCGAGTTTATGAAGACACTTGAGAGGGAGACTAAAGAGGACACAATTGCAATCATCAATACGAGATATAACCAAAGAATGAACGAGGATAGTAGCACTCTGAGGGGCAAGTGACAGGCGGAGATGATTAATATTCCGTAGATGAACGTATGCAGACAGAGTAACATTATTATGTTACTTACATTATATAATAGACTGTAGTGTGTAGTAGGATGTAAACAGTTATATTCATATTCAAGATTCTCACCAAGGCATTGTGTGTACGCTTGAGGCCTGATAAATGTGTTGAGTCAAAGCTGATTTTTTTTTTTTTAATATTTGCATCTCCCTCTCACCCACTTACTTGCAGGTTTCCTTTTCACTGCTTTTGTTTGATACACTTAAATGTGGGAGATCATGCCACAGTACAAAAGTTTGTCTTCAGACCACCTTAAGACTTCAAGGGGCAATAAGCGAAATCGTTTCACCGCTAGGTTCATTGTTGTGCACTGCCTGTAGAGCAAAACAAAGTGTGTCATGAGCCACTCCTCCCTCTGCCTCTGCTTTCCAACC